TAACATGTCAAATCAGGTGCCGCCACAGGAAAGAAGGGAAAGAAGGCCGCCGCCAAAGCCGCCAAAGCACAAGCCGCTGCTGGTCTTACTGCTCAGGGTGCCGCTGCAAATGCTACTGGTGCTGCCGCTACTAATGCTGCCGGTAAGTTATCTTCTTAATTCTACCAAGATACTTACTAACATCTCAAATCAGGTGCCGCGACAGCAAAGAAGGGAAAGAAAGCCGCCGCAAAAGCAAAGGCCGCCAAAGCACAAGCCGCTGCTGGTGGTGCTGCTCAAGGTGCCGCTGCAAATGCTACTGATGCTACCGGTAAGTTATCTTCTTAATTCTACCAAGATACTCACTAACATCTCAAATTAGGTGCCGCCACAGGAAAGAAGGGAAAGAAGGCCGCCGCCAAAGCCGCCAAAGCACAAGCCGCTGCTCAAAACGGCGCTGCCGCAAGTAAGTGCATCAGTTCCTGATCCCTCTTCGGACCTACATATAGCATTACTATAGAAGACGGGAACTAACAGATTTCAGATGGTACTATCGCTGCCGCCGCGACTGCGGGCAATGCTACCGCCGCCAGTGGAAAGAAGGGCAAAGCTGCCAAGGCTAAACAAAACGCTGCTGCGGACGCCACACAACAAGGCGGTCTGGGCGACCTTTCTGCCCTGCTTAACAGCGTCGGTGCCGGCGACCTTCTCTCCAAGCTCGGCCTGAAGGCTCGCGAACCATCGGCTCGTCGCTCTATCAACCTCCTTCCGGATCACGTCGCGATGCCGCTATAGAGACCTTGATCACTTCGCAAAGGAGAAATTACCTCTGGGGGTGGACATGATTGACTCACACATTCGTTTTACATATATATTCTATTTGGGTGACCGGCTGGATTACTGGGTTTGGAGATGGAATCGGCGTCACATTATTTGTCTTCTATTGGGTGTAATTTCCGAACCCTGGATGGGAAGGAATCTACATGGCTGTATACCACAAAAAGAAAGAGGAAACGGTATAAGATATCTATAAGGCCACTGGAATTGGCAAGAAGCATTTATCTGCATTCAAACTACCTTCATCTTATCTTATCTAATCATGTGTCAAGACTGATGAATGTGACTGTCTTCGGCTCTCATGTTGTTTGTTTGTAAGGAGAAGCTGTCATCGCAGTGTGTTGTTCTTTCTACCTTGACTGAAGAGACAAATAACAGATATTTTTCGCGAATAAATGTACAACCGGGCAGATACACAAGAGGTGCTTTACACGATGACGTTAAAGTCTCGTTTGATCTCCG